GGTACAATATATGAAGTGTTAAAATATGTTAATGCATGCGTAGCAATTTCTGGTTGATGAGTTTTTACTCGACGGTCGCTGCGTTTGAAAGGATAATAAATTCTTTTCATCTTTTCTGATTAATGAAAAGCTATATTTAGTAACGAAGGATAAAGGGTTTTTGTTCAAAATAGTTCCGCTAGGTATTGTTAATCTAGACTGAGCGACGATTGTACTTAATGCCTTTTTCTTTCATTGACACCCGCGTGATGAAATAGCTCCTGGTGATTGTTAAATACCGCGACTAAAAATAGATCGGCACATGCGCAGTCTATAAGGACGCTACCCTATGGCAGTCATTTCCTTACTAGACGAGGTAAGTAAACGAGCTATATTTTATAAATATTAAATATTATTTATTTTGAATATATTAAAAACTATTTGTTTTTATTTAAATTTATGAATTAAAATGTAAAGCACGTATATATTTACAAACATTTCTTTTATCTGTAATGATGGTAATTATCTCTCCGTCTAGGGCCGAGGACCTGACCTAAAATGTCAATCAAGCCCTAAGATCGGGTATACGAGTAAGCTCCGTATACTTCCGGGAGATTAAAAATAAATTTCTAAAAATAGACGGATGATCACATTCTAAAAATAGAACGATGATGTCATTCTATATATAAAATCCAATATGGCGTCGCGCATGCGCAGTCGTGACGCCAAACCGACCCCTATACTACTAATATAATGTCTTCCAATATATTAAATATAAGCTTTGTTATCTGATGGACAGATACTTAACTTAGCTTTGAGAATTAAGTACGAAGATTTACATAACAATTGTCTACTTCTTTTAATACAAACACAGATTATTCAAATTGAAAATGCTAAGACAATAAAGAAAGGTTTAACCATTTTAAAATTCGAATCAAACAAGTGAGAAGTCAAGGGCAAGACGGGTGTTTACTCTGTCTTGCCAGTACTGAAATATGTAAATTACTTGGAAGTGGTATGTTCTCAGTCGCTAATGAAAAAAAATACCGTATCTTAAGTCAAATCTAAGAAATCACTGATATTGCACTGATGATATTGACTTACCTAAGAGAGAGGGACAAATTTGAGGATTTCTTTTTCAGGATGTTTGCGGAGAGCCTAGGTTTTCAATTTAATACATCCCCTCTTATTGGAAAAAAGGTTTACAAATAGATTCAGTTAAAAGACCCTATCGTAAAATAATTATTGTAAAAAAAATCAGATTGAAAACCAATATTTACTTTTGATATTGAAAAATTGGTAAAATAACTCGGTATACGTTTTAGGGAGTATTTGATAAAGACTCCCTTGGTAAGTTAAACGGTAATGAATGTTGTTTAATAAATCAAGATAACTCAGTTAAACCTGGGACATATTTGGGCCTGTAATATACCTATTATTTTGATATATTTGGCGATATTCCGCATAAAGATATTATTAATTGTTTACCTAATATAAAATTATATACACTACAAGGGCATGGTTAGCGGCTTATTTCTCTCTATTTTTGCAAAAACGAATCGACTCGTTAAGCCATGAAAGATTATTCATATGTATATCACTCCTTATAAAATGAAACTAAGGGGCCTACGCATATGATCTTCCATTAAATTCGTTGATGTATTCAATGTATCAATACATTTATCTTCATATCTTCAAAAAAGTCATATTACGTAGCCAAAACAACCCACATCTAATCCATATTTTACTCTATCTGTCCTTGTTTTATCTTGATTTTATCTTCAAAATCCGAAGAAAAACCATAACAAACCAATTTTATACTCTCTGCAACTGTAATTATTGTATAAAGCATAATACGTCGTTGATTTTAAAGCCCCGAGCCAGGCGTTTGTGTACTTTTAAATGGTTCTTTTACATTGCTAAAATGACACTAATCCTGTAAGATACAGCTGCAAAACCACAAGAAAATATAGGATTGTACTCAAAATTGTACATTATAAGAAGTCATTCTATACAATATTTATGGTATTCATTTTGAATAAACAGATAATTAAATACTAGTACAAGTACTGAAATAAGTTAAGACTCTTACCCCATACTTTACCAAAGGAAATTGATATTTTAAAGTTGATATGTTCCTTAAAAAGCTCTACCAACCGCAACAAGTCAAAGATTTGCCAGTAATAAAAATATCAATTTGACCATCAAATCAAAATGCATTGACCAAACTTCAAAGTTTGTATATAGTTGACACTTGATGACTCTATATGCAATACTCCTTTGAAGTCATTAGCTCAAATGTCCTCGGTCGAGTGGTAAAGGTTGTTGACAACAAACCACTTGCCTATTACCATCGTAGGTTCGCACCATCTACTTCGGATTCTTCAAGTGAGAAAGCTATCCAGCTAGCTAAATGAATGTCGATGGTTCTACTCAATTGCCATTTTGTCCAAAGCAGCATCTGAGGTCTTGCTCCGCCAGTTAAGCTGGAAAGTTGTCATTTGACCTTTATTGTGTTGGTGCGTATGACGGTATGAACCGGTTACCGTATTTTATTCTCCTGTATTACGACAAGTTATTTCCCTTATTTCATTGCGCCATTTGTAAACACGTTTTACGAACGTTCTAGACGTGCTGTGCGAAAACTTTATTGCGTTTATAGGCCCAAAGAGGTAAAATAATATTAAAATGCTGTATTAAATGTTTGAATTATACAAGTTTGTCATATGCGATTTGATATTTATCGTTCCTGTACCTTTTTAAGTTCAGTTTTATCGAAAGCACATTTTATTTCACTCGTTAAACTTACCAGTCATAAATATACATGTAGGATTTACTGCCCTTTGTTTACAATCGGACTCGCCGAGGCGCATGCGTAAACTAAAAAGCAAGCGTCCATAGGACCGGTAAAAGCATGCGCCCCTCAGTTTTACTTTTAGTGTGAAAACAATCGGACGTTTACACTAATGCTCGCTTGTTACAACGATATAATTTTTTTATGTTGGACTTTTATTAGTTTTGTTTTTTGTTTATTATGGCTGAAGCAGCGGTTCGGGCCGCTAGTGATAAGGATGACAGTATTATTGATACCGAGAAAAGTGACAAATCTTCGACTTCGGTGAAATTGGTTCATTCGAAATCGAACACTAAACCACGTGCTTCGTCTAGTGGTTCAAAATGCAGAGTCAAGAATTTGGATAAAAGAGTTTCGGATATGGAACGTAAGTTTGACTCTGGTTTTGAAAAACTTTTTCAGTCTATAGAAGCTTTAAAATCTACGTCACAGTATACAGAGGGTTCAGCCCTGCTGAAAACTGTTGATAATATGGGACAGTACACAGTCGGTTCAGCCCAGCTGGGAGCTGTTGATGAGGGTAGTAGCACTTTGGCTCACAGACTTCGTAGATGTATGAACATTAATGATGATGCTGTTACAGATGATATTTTGTCCTTGCATCCTAGAGATCAAGAGAGGCTTAACAGTTTTGGTCTTTGTGATGATGTTGCCTCAATTCATTCATCTATTTCTGACAGTTCAGCACCTCGTAATGATGCTTTTCAGGGGTATTTAAATCCAGAAACTCCAATTATGTTCCAAGAGTTATTTGGCTCAGATAGTTAACAAAATGATGGTGCTTCTAATGGTTTAATTTTAGATGATTTTCAAGTGTCTATACTTAATAAATCATAGAAAGCACAAAATCCGCAGCGTATTGCGGCTTATAAAGAAGAATATAAATCTTGCTTTCCTGTTCACGAGAAAAGTGTAGAATTTCTAGGGGTTCCTGGATTGGATGAATTATTGGAACCTATGCTACAAAAACGACATGGTGCAAAAATGACAAAAGCATGGGGTAAAAGCAGACGATTGTGCACTCAACCATTAAAGTCAATTGAAACACTAAATTACCAAGGACAATTAGCGTCTAGGTTGAACATTATTGCTATTTCTTATATTCAAAAGAGTTAAGGTAGTTTATTGTCTACTCTTAAGGAAAAAGAACCAAATATGGACAAAGCTGTGCAAACGGTTAGAGATATTTTTGACATGTCGTCAAAAGCCTTGAATCAAGCTGGAAGATCAGGGGCGTTTCATCATCTTTCCCATAGGAAGGCCGCAGTATCAGATTCTGGTTTAAATACATTGAAAGACATTCAGTCAAAAGTTATGTATTTGCCTCTTACGGCAGATGCCGTGTTTGGTTCTGGTTTGCAGTCTAAATTAAAAAATAGGAAAGAACAAAAGACCAGTTAACAGACTTAGTTCCAGAATTTTTTGAAAGGAAGAAAAGGAAACCTGAGACTTCATATGAAAGGTCAAATTTTAAGAAAGCTAAAGTACAGCATAACATTGGAGGGCAAAGACAGTCTTTTCCATACAATGCATCTAACAGTAGGGCTTTTTCATTCAGTGGAAATAAAGAAAACAGACAGAAAGATTTCAAGTCTCAAAGTGTGAAGCCTAGAAGCACTGGTGCTATACCTACTTTTCGTATCCCAAAGAAACCATGACCAGGAAAGAAAAATTCTTTGTCTATAACCCCAGATACCTGTTGGGGGTCGTCTCAGATTTGTGTGTCAATGTGGGAAAAGATAACCACAGATCAATGGGTAATTTCAGTAATCAGGGAAGGTTACAAACTAAATTCGAGAAAACTCCTGCATTTATGGGTGTAAGATATTCCTATAATTTCAAAAGAAATTTCTTCTTTAATAGAAAAAGATGCTGTAGAAATGGTTCCATTTAATCAACAAAATCAAGGTTTCTACAGTACATTATTTCTTGTCCCCAAGAAAAATGGGGAGTTATAAAAAATACCTGTTATAAATCTGAGACCTCTGAACAGGTATCTGGTCAAGAAACATTTCAAAATGGACACATTATCGAAAATCTAGTAAAGCCAAATGTTTGGGTATTTTCAATAGATCTCAGCGACGCATACATGCATATCCCAATTTTTCCGAAACATCGCAAGTATCTAAGGTTTGCATTTCAAGGGAAATGCTATCAGTGGAAAGTAATGTGTTTCGGTCCTACTGTAGCACCAAGAGTGTTTACGAAAATTGTGTCAGTAGTTGCAGCTCACTTGAGAACACAAATCATACGTCTAGCAGTATACCTAGACGACTGGTTATGTTTAAATCAAATACATCAGCATTTACTCAAAGATCAGTATGTTTGCCTCAATCTCCTCATAAAACTAGGATTTTTGGTGAATCTAGAAAAGTCAAATTTGATACCACAACAGATAATAACATATATTGGGGCAGTATTCAATCTGAAATTGGGTCTTATTCTTCCAACAGAAGAGAGGTTTTTGAAAATTCAGAATGCCATCTTGGACTTAGTCAATGGCAAGAACAAAGCTCAAAATTTCCTTCATTTATTAGGTCTCATGGCTTCTTGGTTGGAACTTATTCCAAATGCTCGACTTTTCATGAGACCTATTCAATTACATTTGCTCAGTTTTTGGAAACCTTCAAGTTATTCATGGGACATGATCATTCCATTTACTCCACATCTTCAATCACATCTAAGATGGTGGTTAAATCCAGCCAACATTTTCAAGGGTCGCTCATTACATCAGACTTTATCAGAAGTAATAATAACCACCGATGCCTCCAAGAAAATGTATGGAGGGCATCTAGGGAACCAATATTTTCAGGGAACATGGCCATTAGATCAAATCAATTGGCACATAAATTCTCTAGAAATGGAGGCTGTCTTTTTAACAGTTAACCATTTTCTAAGTCAGATTCAGGGGAAATCAGTGTTGATCAAAACAGACAACACGACTGTTGCACAATACATAAACAAACAAGGGGGAACAAAATCAAGCAAACTTTGCATTCAGACTCGGAAATTATGGACATTAGCTATTCAAAACAACATTTCATTGAGGGCAAATCACATAGTCGGAACACAGAACATTTTAGCAGATCAATTGAGCAGACACAAAATAAGGACAACAGAATGGTCCCTTAGTCCATTTGTTGTTCAGAATTTTTTTCAATTATGGGGAACTCCTCTAATAGACCTATTTGCATCAGTAGACAATCATCAGACTCCAATTTTTTGCTCCTGGTTTCCGACCAATCAAGCGTTTGCGATAGATGCTCTGAGGATTTCATGGTAGAACATGTGTGCGTATGCTTATCCTCCTCTATGCCTGATACCGAGAATACTGACATATATACAGCAGTTCCATTGTCAAATTATACTCATAGCTCCTCAGTGGCAAAGGAGCCATTGGTATCCGGAAATTCTGAACTTGTTAGTAGCATGTCCCCTAAGACTACCTGTAATTCCAGATCTACTAGTTCAACCAAAAACTCTGATAAAACATCCGAATCCGGAAATTTTTCATTTAACAGCTTGGCTGTTATCGGCAGACAATACGAACAGACTGGATTTTCTGAAAACTCTAGAAAATTGCTCAAAGGAGCCTGGAGATCAGGTACTCAAAGGGACTATGGTAGCAAGTTCAGAGTATTTAATAGCTGGTGTCGTCCAAGGAAAGTTGATCCCTATTCTTCATCTCTGATTAATATATCACAATTTCTAACAGACATGTTTCATAAAGGTTTACAGTATAGAACAATAAGTGGTTACAGGTCTATGTTATCAGCTATTCATCCCCCTTTTGATGGTCATAAAGTAGGTCAACACCCTTATATAATTCAACTACTTAAGGGAGTTTTTATTTCTAGACCTCCTACAGTCAGATTGATTCCTGAATGGGATTTGCTGAAAGTGTTAAAGGCTTTACAAAAGCATTTTTTGAACCTTTACATAAAGCTCCGTTGAAGGTTTTAACAAACAAAACTGTATTTTTGTTTGCAATAACTACTTAAAGGAGATGCAGTGACTTGCAGTCTCTGAAGTTAGGAGAAGGTTCAGTAAACATTAAACAGAAAGGTATCATTTTTATTCGTCATGGTTTAGCTAAACAGGACAGACCATCACATTTCGGAGCAACTATTTTCATACCATCTTTTCCAGAAAATAAGAATTAGGATCCTAAAAGGTGTTTATTTTATTATTTGAAAGCAACTGAAAAATATAGAAAGTCTTGTCCTGGTGAAGATGAAACAAAACTATTCCTTGGGTTAAATGAGCCACATAAACCAGTTAGTTCTCAAACGTTATCAAACTGGATTGTTCAGACATTAAAGTTAACACTTCAAGATGATAAGGTTAAAGTTAAAGCTTATAGTACCAGAGCCATTGGTCCATCTTTTGCATTGTTCAAGGGTGCATCAATTGAATCAATTTTAGCTTCAGCAGACTGGAGTAGAGAGACTACTTTTACACGTTTTTATCTAAGTAAATAGTACTTCAACAGTGTTGAAAACTTGAAATAAGTTTTTTGAACTAAAATTAAATTTTAACTTTTAGCGAGTCGCTATATCAACTTATTGAGGGATTTTTCATATTTTATGGCACTCGATAAGTGCATTGGTATATACATATATACATATATTGTGTACATTAGTGAAGATAGTGTTCTGAGAATATAAGTGGACATAGTGTTTTTCTGTACATTTATACAAGTTGAAACAGCATTGACAGAATGTTTATTTGTACATTAATACAAGTGGAAATGTTCCAAGTGAAGAATAAAGAATGGACTTTTTCATGTACATAACGGGAACAGATACATATTTGTTGTATAAAAATTTCTGTCAGTAGATATTACCCTACACCACCATCAGAGGTGAGTATTGCTTTGAAATCAATCCTACATGTATATTTATGACTGGTAAGTTTAACGAGTGAAATAAAATTGAAAAATTTGTAATCAAGTTACAATTTTATGAATAAGTTAAACTTACCAGTCATACTAGTTTCCCACCACCACCCCTTGGTAATATTTTGATAGTGTAATTGTTTTCACTTAATCAGTAAAACTGAGGGGCGCATGCTTTTACCGGTCCTATGGTTTACGCATGCGCCTCGGCGAGTCCGATTGTAAACAAAGGGAAGTAAATCCTACATGTATATTTATGACTGGTAAGTTTAACTTATTCATAAAAATTTAACTTGATTCCAAATTTTTCAATTTGAAGTGAATAATATTCGGAAGAACAATAAGATCGGATATTAAAATGGTTATGTATTTTGACTAGAAATCTAATGATTGTTTTATTTCATTGGTATTTTCAGTTTGACGTAGAATTATTCTTCAGTCCTGCCTTTGGTTGCGAGTTTAAAGAAAATAAACTATTTTCAATTTACTCTGCTGTTATAGTCAAACTCTGAGGAGATCAAGCTGCTGAAACAGCTGTAATGTATGTTGAACTTTACAAAACTTAGCTCTGATATGTTGAAATATATAGAAAAGCCAGTGACATTACCATGCAGTTTATACTTAACCCCAGTTGTCATCACTGACAGTAAAGGAAAATATCTACATAATCTAAAAGTGTATTCAACATATGAACATAAAATTGTGTGGCATATCAGAAGTGGACGTAAATCAAATCACGAGATGCAAAGGAGTATGTTTTAAAGAATTTAGATGGCATGAAATCTAAACATGGAAGTGTTTTCATTAAGTGTGGGTAGGAACATGTGATTTTACTAACAAAGAAGGTAAAATTATTTCTCTTAATCCAGATTGTGGCAAGGCTTTGAGTAAATTTAGAGCAAATATAAAGGGAATTCAACAAATATGCATTGTAAAGGGTGTGAAAACTAACTTTTTGCACATATATTTTTATTCTATACAAATTTGGAATCAGCAAAAGGGACATTCTAATGCACATCAATTTAAGGATGATGATAAGAAGTTCACTGATGTCATTGATGAGGCAAAAATTTTATTGATGAAATAAATACAGAGTGCAATACTACAACTGCAAAGGTTAATGTAGATCTTCTGAGATCAAGAAAGACAAGGAGCTCTAAGGGGAGTTATTCTATTAACTTTAACTTATTACTTGACGGTATTCATCCAGGGATAAACTTAGCTAAAGCTTGGCTGGTATCGATAGCCAAACTAATTAAAAGAGACTGCACATAAGTGTTCAAAACATTGTAATTTTAAATACATGTATTGGTAATTTGAATTACTAAAAGTACAGGTCGGGATTGCCCAACCGTACAGAACTGTAATACACATTTGACTTTCGTACTACAAGTACAGGTCGGGATTGCCCAACCGTACAACATCGTAATTCATATTTGACTGCCGTAGGTAGGGATTGCTTAGCCACGGTTCATTTTTCTTGAACTTGTTATTAATTGTTTTCTTTATTAGAGTTCTGGTCAGTATATACAAACTAGTAAAATGTCCGAAGAAAATCATGATATGGAATTAAGATCTCGCGAGTCAAGATTAATAGAAAAGGGTCTAGAATACCAAATTTCAGTAAAACAAAAGAAATATTCGATCAAGTTTGTCAGCCTGGCGTGGTGATTTAAACAAATTAAATGTTCTGACTCTGATAAAATTGATTATATAAGGGTACACAGGGATATACTTCAAAAATCGCTTGAAGACCTTTCAAAATGTTTTCACGATTTACAAAATTTAAAAGAAGATATCTCGGAAGAAGCTGAAAAATTTGAGAATATTGAAGTTACTCACCACCGCGCTTTACAAGGTGTAACAGAGCGTGTTCGTGAACTAGAAAGTCAAAAGAATGAAACCTACTCGCAGCAATCTAAAAGCAGTGTATCCCACATATCACGAAAATCGCGTCGGTCAAATAATTCATGTTTTTCAAATGCGGAATCAGAAATTGCGGTAAGGAAAGCGACATTAAAGGCAGAGCTTAAATACTTAGATACAGAGTCATTGCTTAAGGTTGAACTAGAAAAAATAAATATAAGCAAAAGAAAAGAGGTTGCAATGGCAGAGTTAAATGCCTTAGAAGAGTCAGTTTAAATCCTCATGCAGATACAAAGTCATGGTTTACTTCTGTGCCTCAAGTCGTAAATCTGAGTATGTTCAAAATTATGTTACGAAGCATAGTCCCCTACCAATCGATACACAGGGAATTTGTAGTGTTATTCAAGTTACATATACACAATTAGATTCTAAGTCTCATGTCTCATTGAGCAATATCTCAAACACAGACAAGCATACTCCAGTAGACAGATATACTAGTACTTCTTCAAATTCTATTACACTTATTCCAGGTGTTAATCATGTTTCTTCATTTGCCTTTTCATCTATTCCCACATTGGTCTCAGATGTTGTTCCGTCTATTTCACTGCCAAATTTTTCAACGAGAGGTTATCTAGTCACTTCTTTAAACCCTTCTGATCGTACGTTTGTTCCAAATGTGTATTCTCTTTCAAAACATGGTCAAGATGTCTTAAATAATGCCTGTAGCAATTCAGTCTCAGATCATGCTAAGGAACAAGAATTAGCAAATCTTACAAAAACCCTTGTTGAACAAGTCAACTTGAGTAGACTACCTTCTCCAGAACCTACTGTATCTTATGGAGACCCCTTACAGTATCCTTCTTGAAAATTAGCCTTAGACATTGATTGACCTGAGAAACATTCCTAAAGTTGAGCGTATTCATTACTTGAGAAAATACTTAGGTGGTCTAGTAAAACAGGTAGTTGAAAATTTTCTGCTTATACTTAGTGACAACGCCTATGAAGATGCACGAAAACTTTTAGATGAACGATACGGCGACCATTTTGTAGTGGCAAATTCTTTCAGAAACAAATTAGATAGTTGGCCAAAAGTAACTTCTAAGGATTCACAAGGGTTATTGAAGTTTTCAGACTTTCTTAGGCAGTGCTATACAGCATTACAGACAGTTCCATATCTTACTGTTTTGAATGACCCTATTGAAAACAGTAAGCTGATTTCAAAGTTACCTAAGTGGTTAGTTACTAGCTGGAATCGCATTGTTGTTTCCTATAAAGATACTCATAAGGAATTTCCCCCTTTTAAAGAGTTTGTAGAGTTTGTTGCTAGAGAAGCTAAAATTGCCACTGATCCAGTTACGTCTCTTACCTCTATTAGGGATGTAACCCGTAGTTGTCCTGAAACCAATGTTAGAACTCGGAAGGCAGAGAAGAGGCATCTTACACATAAGGAAGGAACGTTCTTTGCAGGAGTTAAAGAGCAACCTCGTCCTCATTCGAGACCAACAAACTCTAGTCAATGCCCCTTGTGTCTCAAAAATCATGATCTTGAAACATGTAGACTTTTTCTTGAAAAGGCCATTAAAGAAAGAAAACATTTGTTCAAGACAAAAGGCTGTGTTTCAGTTGCCTGAGTGGAGGGCATATCTCTAAGAAATGAAGAAGGAGAAAAAGTTGTCAAATCTGCTCTAAGTTTCACCCTATTTTTTTTTTTTACATGGAGACCTTAAAACCATTCCATCTGATACCTCTAAACATCGTACACAGAATGACCCAGCTAGGGTGGAATCACCTAATAATATAACAAATGCTTCCAGTTAAGGTGTTTCTTTCTAAAATAGTTCAAGTTCATGCAGTACGAGATCAATGGTTGTTCCCGTGTATGTTTCTCATTGCAAAAATCCTGAAAATGAAATTCTAATTAATGCAATGCTTGACACTCAATCCGATACCACCTTTGTTTTAAGGGATACCTGTGATGCGTTGGGTGTGTCAGGGCCAAGGGTAAATCTTATTTTATCTATTATGCATGCTAAGCATACCACCGTTGAAAGCAATAAGGTACGTGGTTTGGTTGTTCGTGGTATTAACAGTTCTCTTAAGATAACCTTACCAGATGCATTTTCAAGGGAGATAATTGCAGCCAATAGATCTCATTACCAACCCCAGATATTGCTATGTCCTGGCCTCATTTAGAATTCATAGCGGATGAACTACTTCCTCTTGCAGATTGTGAAGTTGGTCTTCTTATTGGATATAATTGCGCACGTGCTCTCATGCCTCGGGAAGTTATTCCCCCTGAAGGTATGGGTTCTTATGGCCAAAGGACTGATCTTTGTTGGAGTATTGTTGGTGTAGTAGATAATAATGGCGAACATGATGACTGTGATGAATATGTTGGTTTGAGTCATCGTGTCTGTACGTTGGTTTCTCGTGCTGATTTGTCAGCTTACAACATTCATGAAAAGGAAGCAGCGACCTTTTGTTGAAGGTTACACACCCACCTGAAATTACACGAATGATAGAATTAGATTTTAGTGAACGTTACTACCATTGTTTCACCATTTCTTATGATGACAGGCAGTTCTTGTCAAAAATGAAAGATGGTATAAGTTTCATAGATGGACACTACACTATGCTATTGCCATTTAACTTAATGGCCCCTTCCCTACCTACCTAACACAAAGTCTTTAGCACTCCACAGACTACAAAGGTTGAAGGTAAGGTTGCAGAATGATAAGGGCTATGGTAGTCACTACGAACATTTTATGAACAACCTCATAAAAATGGTCATGCAGAGAGAATACTAGAATCAGATATTGATAATGGTAGTTGGTATATTCCTCACCATGGTGTGTATCACCCTAAAAAACCTGGCAAGTTACGAGTGGTTTTCGACTGTAGTTCACAGTTTAAGGAAGAGGGTTTGAATGGCCACCTCTTACAAAGTCCTGGCTTGACTAATTGGAGTTCTATGTCGTTTCAGAAGGGAAACGATTGCTTTTGTGTGCGATATTGAGCAGATGTTTCACTAGTTCTATGTTAACATTGAGCATCGTGACTGCCCTAGGTTTTTGTGGTGATCAGACAAGGATATGAGTACACCGGTTGCATACCTCATGTGTGTACATCTGTTTAGGGCATCATCTTCTCCAGGGTGCGCTAACTTTGGTCTCAAACAAGTTGCTTTGGACGGTGAGGTGAAACATGGAAAGATAGCAGCAGATTTTTGCGTAATAATTTTCATGTTGATGATGGTCTGAAGTCTATGACTTCAGTCTCTAAGACTGTAGAATTGATAGAACAAAGTCAAGCAATGTATAAGGATGGTGGATTACGACTTCATAAGTTTGCAAGTAACTTTAAGGAAGTCCGTAACCATATTTCCCCAGAAGACAGAGTTAGTGATTTAAGTAATATTGACATGTTTAATCAAGATTTGCCAGTTGAAAGGGTCCTAGGTGTCCAGTGGTGTATAGAATTTGACAGTTTTCATTTTAAGATAGTGGTAAGTGATAATTCAGTTTACAATTAGAGGTATCCTATCTACGAGTCAGTTCAATTTACCCGACCTGACTTGGGACACTTCATTTCCCCCAGTTACTCAGGTTGGCAAACAGATATTGCAACAAATGTGCGGTGAACAAGTGGGCTGGGCGATCCTATCTCTGATGAGCATTTTAAGCACTGGATTGTTGGAAACAATGTTTTGCATGAATTGAGATGTTTGCAGAGTTAATCGATGTTTAAAAATCATGCTTTGGCGAACCAAAAACTTGAAATTTCAACATTCCCCAGAGCAGTGCCAAAGGATAGGTAGTGCTTTATTCCTTTAAAAAAGGGCAAAGGGGGAAATTATTCTCCTTTTTAATGGTAAAAACAGAGAGCCCCCCTTTAAATGTGTCACTATTCCCCGTCCTGAAACCCCAGCAGCAGTATTTATTAGGGTCAGTGAATTTTTAAATGCGAGTTGGGTTTTTAGAAAGCTTCCCCTATTTTTGACAGACGTGTGTGTTTTGGGACATTTTAAATGATTTAAAAAAGGCTATGTATTCGGGCCCAATCGGTACAAAAGATAAGGATTTACCAATCCGTTTAATGGAATTACATTGATTTCCCGTAATAAACCTGCTGACCTGCATCAAAGGTGCCCCTTTAAGAATGAAATTTAAATTTTTTCAGGACCCAACCTTTCTTTGGAAGTCTCAACTGCCATCTTCAGATACATGTTCTTATTTACGAGAAATTTCGGAAGGTGACCTTGAAGTGAAAGGGGCTCGTTGCTTTTTCGCTCTGTCAACTCCTACCAGTTTTCCAAGTTTACTTCATCGTTTACAGTACTTTCAGACTGGTCACGTGCTAAGAAGGCTATTGCTTTGTGCTTGCGTTTGAAGTCTATCTAAGGCGTGGTTAGTTAACGGAAGATATCAAAAAAACACAAATAAAGAGTTATTTTTCCCAACTAGCCAATTTCGTGGAGAGTTGCAGATGCGAATTAAATTTTTCGCCATGTACAAGCAGAACATTTATTTGCTGACCTTGATACTTTAAGAAAACATCCGGAAATCACAAACCAAAACCATGACATCATCCAGATGTCTGTGAGAAAAAACTTGCCTCTTGTACGTCTTGATCCCTTGTCGACAAAGATGGTCTAATTCGTACTGGCGGTAGAATGCGAAATTCTCCTACAGATATTAACCAAAAGCACCCAATTATTCTTCCCGGTCCTAAATCGTGTCAAATCACCACACTCTTATTACGACATTATCACGACAGAACACACCATCAGGGACGAGGTATTACTATAAATGAACTTAGAGCAAACGGGCTTTGGATTCTAGGTTGTAGTAAGGCAGTTAGTAATTTAAATTATCACTGTCTGACATGTCGCAGGCTCCGCAGTAGAGCCCAGGAGCAAAACATGGCAGATCTTCCTACGGATAGGGTTGACCCCTGTCCACCATTTACTTATTGTGGTGTGGATTACTTTGGTCCATTTCTAGTAGAGGAAGGCAGAAGGGAATTAAAGCGGTATGATGTCATTTTTACTTGCTTAACATGTAAAGCAGTCCACATGGAAATTGCAAACACTCTAGATACTGATTCCTTTATCAATGCTCTTCGTCGATTTCTATCGGTCAGGGGTCCCATTCGTCAGTTGCGATCAGATCGTTGCACCAATTTTATTGGTGCTGAGAGAGCTCTTAGAGAAGCTGTTTCTGAATTACACGAGAATCGTATTGCGCAATTCTTGTTAAAGGAAGGTTGTGACTATTTTACCTTTAAGATGAATGTCTCATCCGCAAGCCACATGGGCGGGGCTGTGTATGGGTAAGACAGATCCGTACATTTAGAAGTATTTTGTCGGCTCTCTTGTGTCAGATTGGCAAACAATTAGATGATGAGTCCCTACGAACATAACTTGCGAGGTAATGGCAGTTGTAAACAGTAGGCCATTATCAGTTGAAAGTTTGAATGATCCCCTTTCTGATAACCCTCTTACACCAAATCATCTTCTGACAATGAAATGTAAGGAACTACTTTCTCCACCTGGTGAGTTTATTAAGACTGACCTTTACACACGTCGAAGATGGAGGCGCGTTCAATATTTAGCCAACCAATTTTGGACGAGGTGGCAAAGAGAATATTTGAACACTCTTCAGTCTCGCTCAAAGTGGGTTTCTGAAAGACCGTTCTTTACAGTTGGTAATATTGTTATTGTAAAGGATGAAAAATTACCGCGAAATTAGTGGAAAATCGCTCGAGTTGAGAAGACATATCCTTCGCCTGACGGCTTAGTTCGCAAAGACGCAATAAGGATAGGATCAGTTTCATTAGATAACAAGGGCGTAATAGTAAGAGATGCGTCGATACTTGATAGACCAATACATAAATTGGTATTACTCCTTGAATCAGAACAGTAATTAAGGTTGGGGTTATCCCCATCGAGGAGCCATCGTTTAAAATTTATTTAGTTAATGCGTATTACATAAGACTGACTCTTATTCTTTTTTATGCGTTAGTCAAATTAGCATTCTGCTAATTTGGGGGAGCCATATGACGGTATGGACCGGCTACCGTATTTTATTCTCCTGTATTACGACGAGTTATTTCCATTATTTCATTGCGCCATTTGTAAACACGTTTTATGAGCGTTCTAGACGTGCTGTGCGAAAACTCTATTGCGTTTAAAGGCCCAAAGAGGTAAAATAATGTTAAAATACTGTATTAAATGTTTAAATTATACAAGATTGTCATATGCGATTTGATATTTATCGTTCCTGTACCTTTTTAAGTTCAGTTTTATCGCAAGCAAATTTGAAGTGAATAATATTCGGAATAACAATAAGATCGGATATTTAAATGGTTATGTATTTTGACTAGAAATCTAATGATTGTTTTATTTCATTGGAATTTTCAGTTTGACGAAGAATTATTCTTCAGTCGTGCCTTTGGGCAACACAGCAGGTTGCGAGCTTAAAAAAATAAACTATTTTCAATTTACTCTGCTGTTATAGTGCGACATTAAACTCTTTGACTTTGTTCGGTCAATAACTTGAATTATGACTTTAACACGTAATATGTGGATGCATCTTGATGTTTGCCTGCAACGCCCATTTGGTTTCATAAAAAGGTCAATATTTATGTGACCATAACTTCAAGTAACCATATTATTTGAAATCGTTCTGTTTTTAGCTCACCTGTCACAAAGTGACAGGGTGAGCTTTTGTGATCGCTTTTCGTCCGGCGTCCGTCCGTCGTCCGTCCGTCCGGCGTCCGTCGTCCGTCCGTCGTCCGTCCGTAAACTTTTACTTTAAATGACATCTCCTCATAAACCACTGAGCCAATTTCATCCAAACTTTACAGGAATGTTCCTTTGGTGGTCACCTTTAAAAATTGTTTAAAGAATTTAATTCCATGCAGAACTCTGGTTGCCATGGCAACCGAAAGAAAAAACATTAAATATCTTCTTTTAAAAAACCCAAAGAGCTAGAGCTTAGATATTTGGCATCAAACATCTTCTAGTGAGTGTCTACAAAGTTTGTTCAAATAAAAGCCCTGGGGTCAAAATTGGCCCCGCCCCAGGGGTCATTGATTTTCCCTATATGCATATAGTAAAAACTTAAAAAATCTTCTTTTAAAGAACCAAAAGAGCTAGAGCTAAGATATTTAGCATGAAACATCTTCTAATGGGTATCTACCAAATTTGTTCAAATAAAAGCCCTGGGGTCAAAATTGGCCCCTCCCCTGGGGGTCATTGATTTTCCCTATATGCATATAGTAAAAACTTAAAAAGCCTTCTTTTAAAGAACTCAAAGAGCGCTAGAGCTAAGATATTTAGCATGAAACATGTTCTAATGGGTGTCTACCAAGTTTGTTCAAATAAAAGCCCTGGGGTCAAAATTTGCCCCGCCCCGGGGGTCATTGATTTATACTTATATATGTGTTATAGCAAAAACTTAAAAAAAAATCTTCTTTGAAAAAACCTAAATAGCTAGAGTTATATATTAAGCATGAAACATCTTATCTAGTGAGTGTCTACAAAGTTTGTTCAGATAAAAAGCCCTGGGGGTTAAAAATTGGCCCTGCCCCGGGGGTCATTGATTTTTCATTATATGTGTATAGCAAAAATTTAAAAATCTTCTTTGAAAAAACCCAAATAGCTAGAGTTTAGATATTAAGCATGAAACATGTTCTAGTAAGTGTCTACAAAGTTTGTTCAAATAAAATCCCTGGGGTCAAAACTGACCCCGCCCAAGGGGTGTCTTTGTTTTTAACTATATGTGAATAGTAAAAACTTCAAAAAATCTTCTTTTAAAAAACCCAATGAGCCACAGCTTAGATGTTTAGCATGAAACATCTTCTTATGGGTGTCTACCAAGGTTGTTCAAATAAAAGCCCTTGGGTTAAAATTGGCCCTGCCGGGGGTGGGGGAGGGGGCAGATCATTGTTTTTCATTATATGTGTGTAGTAAAAACTTAACTTCTTATGGGTGTCTTCCAAGTTTGTTCAAATAAAAGCCCTGGGGTTTAAACTGGCCCCGCTCAGGGGGCCTATATACAGGTGAGCGACCTCAGGGCCATCATGGCCCTCTTGTTTAACAAGGGTTGAGAAAAGTTGAGCGCAATGCGAAAGCTCTTGTGTAAATATAGTATATTCCATATCTTTTACTATTTGGCGTGTTTAAGGTGACAACGGAGTCAATTATCACTGAAAATAA